ACCCCATTCAAAAACCATTTTATCCAAACGATTATAATCCCATCCAGTCAGGTTTCAAATGGCGGTCGTTTGTAGTGTTCGAGGAAAAAAATACCTATTCTCAGTACTGTAGCTCCAGAGTTGTTTTCGAACTGGTATCTCTCATGGAGGTATTACCTCTTTCAGTAACATCGATGTTTTTTTCTATTTGTGATTAAGTCTGATGAGTGGTATGGTTTTGTTCAGACTATAAAAAAGAGTTTCTATTGGTTTGTCTCTACGATGAACTCTTAAGTATCGAAGATGTCCATCTTAGAGGAACACCTTCATCCCCTTAAGAAATTTCTTCATCATTCTCGACTTTGGTGCCGATTTTTTCTCTCTATCCTCCTCATCATGTATCCTATAACCTTCTTCGTCATTACTTCATCACGTTGCCATCTGTTCTCCGAAGAGCAGTGTGGAAGTCACGTTTGTCCACCATTGTGGTGCTAGTAGCGTTCTTTTTTCTCGCTATGGTTCTCATTCAAACATGAGACACTTTTAGTCCTCCTTTTTTAAGGAATGAGTAAACGGCGATGTCAGTGGCCACCAAGTAATTTGTAATCGCAAAAAATTTAAAGAAAAAGAGTTGCTTGAGATTTTATGCCCAATATAAATTGTTGGCTTCGTTTCCTTTTCTCTATCGGCATGGCTTCATAACGCTTGCCTTTCTTTCACATATAGTCGTACACTTAATAAGACATGACAGTGGTAAATTTTCATTGACGGCAGCCTAGGATTATGCCCATTTTTTTCGCAATGACCATTATGACTCATAGGTGACTCATACGGTGTGTCCTGTCACCCAGCGATGACCACGCCTCTTTTCCGTGCTGAAATACTGTGCTGCTAAATTTTCTATGTGTCTTCACCCATTCATTCTTGTTTCCAAGCATTATGCCTATCCTCTATAATCTTCTATTTGTACTCTTATGGAACTTGTAGTATAATTTCATGATTTGTATAAGCTAAAAAACTCGTTCACTATGGTGCCATCGGCCTTTTCTTAGTAGAGAGCGTTCCGAAATCTGTGAAACAAAGCTGTGACTTGGTAGTGAGAGGGTGTACCTCCATGTAATTTTGTTCTTATCACATCTATCTAAATAGTTTCAAAAAGTTATCTTTAGTCCTCTCCCTTTGCATTCTGTTAAGAACACCAGCGAAATTTGAAAGCAGTTAAATGAAGATAAACGAGAACAGAATCTCGAAAATGCGTTCGTTCCTACATTGCCTACATTTAGTTTAAAACTGTCCCACATATTCAATGATTCAGTCGCGCCATTACAGTTTACATTCCTACACATCATTCGCTGTTTAATGCACTTCCCTGTTCGAGGGACAACAAGGAGAGCACTGATATCACCATGCTCTGCTACAGCACATATTCACTAGTTACAGGTCTAGTGAAGGGCAGTGTCTAACACAAAAGTCCAAGAGCAGAAATTACTCGGACGAACAGGGCAGTAATTATCCTTTGGAAAAAGTGTTGATCGTTACATAAACGTAGCTACGATACACCGCATAAAATTTCGCCCATACGTTATCTAGTTGTTGTTGACTCTCATCAGATTACGAGTAGGCTCCGTATAAAGAAAGAACTTTTTTGCAATAGTGTATGTAGAGAGTTTGCAACCTCTTTAAGGTGTTCGACATCCTCGAAGGCAAGTTGCTATCGCATGGAATGGAAATGAATTCGTATACGATTAAACCGGTTTCAGTGATTTGTTATGTTTATGAGTCACCCATAATGATCCCATGAAGAGGCAAATTATTTAAAAAGGTTTCGCAGACACTTGCCATAAAAAAGAAACCTTCTTATCCCGTGAAACACTTACACTATACATTAACGAAAGACTCACTCTTGGTAAGCAAAAGGATGAAGAATTTAAGGCTAGTTCAAATAACATTGCATAACATCATCTATGACTAATATCCATTGTCGATGATCGTTTTGAAGGCGCTTGCAGGATTGAAGGAGATAAAACGAATGAATCAAAGGATAGAAAACTTCGGAAAGCATATAGCGACTTAGAACGCTTCCAATATATTATATTACATATTATATGCATTTTAAAACATTATTTGTTTATTTTTTGAATTTAATTTGGTTTTATTTGATCCACGTGTGGCGCAGTGGTCGGAGGCGCCTTGCAATACACAGAATTGATCTCCTCGGCCATGGCCCACCAAGCCTTCCATCACCCCGGGGTCGGCAAATAAGTACCTGACTTGTCTGGGAGGATAGCAGCACTGGCTCGATACATCGGTAGGTCACCGCGAGTCATTGTAATGGCCAGATATGCATCCAATCATCTCAACAATACCTAATGAAGTCGAATGCATGGGGCATCCCTCAGGGATTGATCAACACCGGGAGCTTTATCTTTTTTTTTTAGTTTTTATTTGGTCCATCTTCACGTCTACTGTGCAGATCCTAGCGCTTCCCACATTCGGTTGGTTTCCCTGCATCCATTGTCCATGAAAATCTTCCAACTTTTACATGTGGCCTCGGTTGCTGCTTGAGGATTTCCATTTCATCTTGAATATTGTAGAATGCTGGCCGAGCAATTCTCTCTGGAGTCCTGAAATCGCCGAGGTGGAGCGATTCCAATTGGATTTCAGAGAGCAGTTTTTCCCAAGCAAGTTCGGTATCAAGTCCCCGACCTCGGAGTGATGAGAGGCTTGGTACAAAGGGTGGCATTGATAACGACAGATTTTTATTTGAAGCTTTTCCATTTTGTACTCTATATTTGAAGATATTCCATAGAATTTCCTTTCTTGTATGTGTGGGGCATCCGTAAATTGATTTACAACATAATCTACGGTCCGAAGAGCTGAAGCGAATCAACTCATTGTGTGTTGCAAGGATCCTTGACCACAGCATTACATATGACCAAAGTATTTGTATACAACCACAATGGTGCTGTGATATTTGCAAAACTTCGGACCGCAGGTGTCTACCGTGGGGAACGAACGCGCTTTTACCCTTTCCGGGGACTAACGTGTTCACCATCACACCATGAGGGTGCCACTGATCGATAGAACTAACTGAGAGACAAGCGAAACGAAGGACCCGCATGGTGTGGTGGTGAGCGCGTTACTCCCCGAAAAGGGTAATAGCGCGTTCGTTACCCACCGCAAGCACCTGCGATCTGCTATTTTGCAAACATCTCAGCACCATTGTGGTTGCTTCACACGTAATACCGTGCCATGAAAAAATTATAATAGGCAGTAAATAGAAAGTTAACATTATTTGTGTACATATTTGAATATTTAGATATACTATGCTCATGGATCTCCCTCATCGAGGGATCTAATGCTAACTAGTGGCGAGGTAACGTGGCACGTCATTAAGTGGCGGATAGGGGCTTAACCGTAGACCAGAAGCGATCTTATGCTCTCTGAGGTGCAGCTGGATCCAGGGAATGGACTCCCTGTTTCTGCTGCATTGATAAAATAAACGAGACTCAATCCACTGATCCCGAAGGAGCTACAGATACGGCAGCGTTGGGTAGCACGTGTACAGAGAGGTTGCTAAAATCTCAAGGCAATTTTGGGCCGCCTAAATCTCAAAGGACGTGTGTGGTTATCTATACCTACACGTTCGCTTGCATATGAGTTCTCGATAGAGGACTTGATCATGCAGGCAAGAAGGATAAGGTACGATGTCATGGAATTGGTTAAAACGAGAATGCTGCACCCATTCAACGCTGTCTATGATAACGGGGAAAAACTTTTTCTCGTAACATGCGGCAATAAAGGAGTCGGCGACGTCGTTCTCGTCAACACGAGTTTGGCCATAAACATCGATTCATTCGAACAACTAGCAATCCGAATCGGCTATACGCTTTGGCAGTCACCGTTGTTTGTCTACCGTTGTCCACCGTTTTCAACCTATGACGAACACGAAGCCGAATCTGAAACGTTCTATATGGACTTGGAGAAGTTTTGGAGAGAAGAACATACATTAGCATAGGTCATCAGCGGAAATTTTGACGCTAACATTGGACTCAGAAGAAGGTCTGATGAACGCTACATTGGGAACAACGAATTGGAATGGAACGAACAGGGCGAGCGGCTATCTGAGTTTTTCATGCTCAAGCTCACGTGTGGGTAAGCAGGGTTTCGAAAAGAATTCAGTACAATGGACCACATCCACACGATAACAAGGCTCATTGAAGTATCGCGAGAGTACAAAAGACCACTCTGTCTCACTTTCATCGATTCAAAGAAGGCCGTTGACTCAACTGAGATAGAAGCAGTCATGGAAGCCCTTGATACTTAAGGATTCACTGCTCAGTACATAAAGATTTTTCATGAGCAGTACAAAAATTTCATAACGAAGATATCGCCATTCTACAACGATATTAACATTGACGTCAAAAAAGGGGTTAGATAAGACGATACCACCTCGCCAAAATTTTTTGCCGCCACCCTCCAGAACATCACGCGAACATAGGAATGACATAATATGGGAGTGAAAATCGACGGTCGGCAGTTGCATCATCTTCGCTTTGCTGATGACATCGTTCTTATAACACCAAACATTAGCCAAACGGAACGTATGCTTGCCGACTTTGATAAAGCCTGTGGAAAGATTGGTCTCCGACTAAATCTCACAGAAACGATGTTCATGAAGAACGGATTTGTTTCGAATGCCCTATTCATTTTACACCAATTAGGAAAGAGATCCGAAGCTACGACCCTCGTCAGCGATCAAAAATCAAGGATGCCGTTTTGCACCCCAAACAGCCGAAGATAAGGTGGGCCAGATACGTAATGCTCATGAACGACAACCGATGGAGAAAAGCCGTTAGTGACTGGATTCATTGGGATGTCATACGCACTGCAGGAAGACCACCGGCTCGATGTTCAGAGTTCTTTACGATTACGAAATGCTTTAAAAAAAGATATGATGCTCGACGAGTCCTTAGAGCGCGCAGAACCCACTGGGCTACTCTTGCACGCGTCAGGGAAACATGGAAGATTTACTGGCGCCTGCTCGAGTCACTCGACAATCAGCGGGACTACAGGCGGTACAGGCGATATTATTAAGAAGAAATTCATTACACATAGAGTTAGGCAAAGGCGATACCATCTCGCCAAAATTATTTACCGCCACCCTCCAGAACGTCATGCGAACATTGAAATGGGATAAGATGGGAGTGAAAATCGGTGATCGGCAATTTCGCCATCTTCGTTTTGCTGATGACATCGTTATTATAACACTAAACATCAGGCAATCGGAACGAATGCTTGCTGACTTTGATAACGCCTATGGAAAGATTGGTCTTCGACAAAATTTTACGAAAACGATGTTCATGAGAAACGGATTCCTTTCGTATGCCTCACTGAATGCTCGGCTACTGGAAGATTTACTGGCGCCCGCTCGAGTCACTCGACGTTCAGTGGACCGTAGTGATGTTGAAAAGTTGCGAAATAAATTTAAAAATGCTAGACTATGAACTCTAACAGTATTCAGCAGCTCTGGATCTGAAGTGTTCTCTAGTGGTCCTAAAAGGAAAATTTTTCTCTAGGCAGTATATTTTACGTGAATAACACAGCATTAAAGTGCAAGTCGCTGGTTTACTTCGTTGTTTAGCCGAAGCTCGGCCCACTTGTTGAATGGAATCTGCAAGAACGTTAAAGGGAATTCTTGATTGGTCGGATTATTCGCCGATATTTCCATTGAATTACTTTCCCAATCGTCGAGAAACAGTGAGTCATGTCAAAACATTATTATGCCATTGCAATTTGTTGAACAATTGAGGCAGCATTATGACTACCGACGAAGCTGAATCACTCTTTCCAAAGTTACGTTAGATTCAGCGTCTCTCTATATGTTATGAAACGACAAGACCTTGTGGCGTAGCACTTGCTTCGTAGCACTACACACCTCAATAATCTGATCAGTATGTGGTGATGTATCTACGCTATGTTCCGTCATTCCCGTCCGAATTAATCTCCCTTCTTGTTATTTCAGCTGGTGTTACGAGCTTTGATACGCCATGAACCATCGACCTCATGCATTCATCTGTTATTCTTTTCTAAGGTGGATTGTCCATCACCTTCATGCTTGTTCTTTCTCAAAAAGTAAATGTGACATCCTAATTTTACAGTTAACTGAAGTCTTCTCTGACACACTTCTAATTGATAGGAGAGGGTAAAAGCGAGCAGGTGTTGTCTTTTGCAAGCGTTCAACCTAGTGACTATTCGTACCTCTACTCTAGGACTTAGACTTATTTGCTAGACTCCAGCTTCTACGGTATGGACATCGACTTACACCTCTTCCTTCTGATACTGACATGACCGAATGCGAACTATAGCGCTTCATGTTTATAGGGCGGGAATAGTTTATGTTTAACTCTGGCAACAGTTATTTAACTACAACTTTGGCTATGAGAGTTCATGTTTGTTTATTTTGCTGCTGTTATTTTGCCGAAAAAAGTCGCACTTTTATCCCAACGCTTCCAGAGATCTTTCATGGCCGTAGAAAAAGGACTTCCACTCTTCACTTATGCCGTGAAAACTGAATTTGATCTCGAGTACTTTTTCGGAATTGCCAGGCGTTTACATTTCTTTGCTGGTAGTGACCTCGATTAACGTGCAGGACACGATTCCTGAATATGCAACCGCACTCAAACGACTTCGTTTACATATCCGTGTACCTATGATACTTCCGGAAAGTATAAGCATCCGGCAAAGCGTACACTGGAATTCCATGCTTTGAATTCATCTGCGTCTCAGGCAACCTCGCCCCAGGTTCACCAAGCCTTCATGGCTCAGGGTCAGCAAATTGCTACCACACTTGTCTGGGATGATAGCAGCAATGGTTCGATACATCTCAGTAGGCCACCGCGAGTCATTGTAAAGGCCAGATATGCATTCAACCACCTCCAAAAGTGCTTTGAAGTATCCTTTATCCACCATCTTGGAACGCGCCGCATGTTTTTACAGTAGCTAGTAGTATGGAGTCAAATATGTTTCCCGTTTAATAAGAAGAAATGGATATTTGTGAAGTGTATGAGAACATGCTATGCTCAAAATCTGCATAAGGACAACTTGGAATGGAAGTTAACCAACACTTATTATCCGACGTCCAATTTCATGTGGCGGACGCGGCACGCGCGAAATACGACGCCTGACTTTTCTAGACCCTACATGCAATAAACTGAAATCAATTGTCGTTGACCGATCTGGGTCAGCCACCCTTCCATATGGGTAGGAGTTAGCTCACGTTGGACGACTTCAAGTGTGAATCTTTTGTGCAGGTGAACTTTTTCGAAATATCGTCACCAAGTGCATATGAGAAGTTGTTTTTGAAGCTTGTAGATGAGTGGAAGCAGATTAGAAGATTTGTGTTATGTTTTCCACAAATAGCATGGGATTCTTAGGAATTTACGGGCTGGGGGTAATGTGTGTGAGCCGTAACCAAACGATTTAAGTGAGGTGTTTGTCTCTAAACAAGCATGTTATAGCAGTGTGGCTTCAAAGTGGTGTTTAAATCATAGACATTTGCTTTACTTTCTTTCTCTTTAACAGTCATGTTGTGACGACAATCTCGGGTTTGATGCAACTACAGTGATGCTAAGATATTTTCAAAACTCCGGACGGCAGGTGTCGGCGGTAGGGAACGAACGCGCTGTTACCCTTTCTTGGAGCTAATGCGTTCACCAAAAAAAGGAAAAAGAATCGGGTTTGTTGCAGACTGGGCGACGCCTAATTTTTGGCCTTTATATACTTGCTTGATTTTTGAAAATAAACAATGATTTTTCGATAACTGGAGGAGTTTGTGGGTTGTGAACTTGAATGAATTGTAGAAAAGACTTTACTGTATCGTCCTGTGGTTATAAATGAATTCATCGTGCTCTTAACTATATTTTGATATGGTCCATTATGCAAACGCATTACTATCAGTATTTGGAAGTGTTTTGCCCTTTATGGGTTTTTGGTTCAGTATTTTTTATACCCGCATCCTATATTCGATCGTTCACTGTAGCAATTAGGATTGAGGTACTAGTCGATTGGCACTCAAATTTCTGGTTGATGAACTCGTTCGGAAAGCGGTTTTTTGCAAATTTTCAGGTGCAGAGTGGAGCTCTTCTCGGTCACAGCCTCTACAGAACATCTGTGTTCTGCAAGCTATCATTTGATAGTAAGAAGTATAGGCAAATGGTTCTATATGTTAAAATACGTCCCCTGAAAAAAATGAGACCAGTAGGTGTCTTATTGGCCACTTCCGCAAAACCATTTTGGTACATAGCGATGTCACTTATCGCAAGTTGTTGGAAACAGCTTCTGTTCGGAACAAAATGTGCTACTTTTTCTATCTCTTTTCTCACCATTCACGTTTAGTACAGTCGTTGAATAACTGGATGTTGTTTCGTTTGGATGGACGGAATTATCCTTTTCGGTTTATTTTGAGGAAATGTAATCCTTGTTCTTTCTACCGACTTCTTTTGTACGTTCATCAGATGCTCGTGCACACTTGTTTCACTTCTTTTAGGCTCTTCTGCGGCTTCGGGCTGGGGTTGCAACCACAGGATGTCGGACACCATTCGCGTATCACGTGTGGTGTGCGACTTTTTGGTTCTGAGTGTTTGCGGTTCGTTTTATTTTCTTTATTCCTAAAATGAATATTCCCATTCAGTTTTCAAGTTGACATCATATCGGTGATTTGACGTACATCATGTTTAACTTCTATTTACTGCCATGTCAGGGTGTTACATGAAGTACAACCACAATGATGTTGAGATATTTGCAAACTTCACGTTCCTTTTTCTGGGCCAGTTTTTTTTTACGATAACGGTGCAATCAGCAGGGGTCTCGGTGGTGCAATAAGTAATACTGGCCCCGGAGAGAGTAATATCGGGATCGAAGCTAACAGGGAGTGCCATTAAATCTACATCAGTCGTTATTCTCATGGTTTTTAATTGTTTTTCTTATTCAAGCGATACCCTTACTGATTTTCCACCTTTGGGTCACTCCGTATAAGCGAGGATTCTACTGTGATGATGAGACGATACGTTATCCTTATCGTGAATCAACCGTCTCGCGACAGATGCTCATTGTAATTGGCCTTCTTGTGCCGACGGCATTGGTTAGTTCACAATTTCGTTTCTGTTGTAATTCGTGGTTAACTCTAGGAGTACATTTGTCTAACATCTTCATCGTCGTGATTTGGAAGTGGTGTGTACGTCGTGATTTGGAAGTGGTGTGTAAATGCGTGCATTTTCTGCCCATCTTCTCTACGTGAGCTTTCTAGATTATCGCCACGGAACTGTTCAGGACGATGGCTTGGGAGAAAAAGTGCGAGTCGCAGTTTAAAACATATCATCTAAGGCACTATTCAGTACATCGCCTCGTTGTTCGCCTCTATTGTTTTATAGGTACCTCATGAAAATCCATCTAGAATTCTTCTCATCATCCCACGATTTTCGATTTTCACAGGTTTTTTATACAATCTGTTTATATAGTCGAATTGTTAAGGCTACTTTTTCCTTGGTGTATGCTTCAATCAGCTAATGGTTGATATTGCGAAGTATACCATTGGTCGCCAAAGACCACACTTCATGGATGTGTGCCGCCCTAGTGTCGGTTACTCAGAGGTGATTTTCTCGATTCTTATGTATATATAGATATGTATTTACATGTATATTTGTATATGACGTTTAACTGGCCATTTCAGTGCAAAAATCCTGATTTTTACATTACTGACTTCACATGTACTGGAACGGACAAGAAGCTGATTCTAGAATCACAACTCTCTTTCTACTCTGGTCACTCAGCGTTCAGTTTCTATGCAGCATGGTTCACCTCGGTATGTGGCGGTTTTTTTTCTCATAGAAATTTGTTATAGGTGGATATGGGGCTCGATAAGTTGTGTCTTACGCGAGTTCTACAGCTTTTTTTTCTAATGAATAGAAGTTAGCACTGTTGATTTGTCATAAACAGAAATGCAGAGGATCTACCTAAGCGAAGTCTCAAGAAGCTCTGATAATTATTTTATATTACTAGCAGCGTTTTCAATCTATTAATTCTGCTAGAAATGAAACTTTGTCGTACGACTAATTAGCGGCGGCATTTAGCTATATCTACAAGCTCGGCTATATCGTCCGTTATTCTCTCGTCTCCTTCTTCCAGTGATCCAATTCTCGTTGTTCGGAGGAGCTTCATATGTCGCTCTTACGCGGGTATTTCCTGATGTCGAATATATGACTGACGTATAACTTAAAAATCATAGTTTTTTAAGGTTTCGGACTATAAACATCATTGGTCGGATGTGCTCGTCGGTGCTCTCATTGGTTCTATAATTGGTATTTTCGTAGTAAGTTACATAGCAATCTCTAAAGAAGAGTCTAAACATTTGTTCGATAATTTTGTTTCACTTCAGGCACTCTACGTAGCTGAGGTGTTCAAGCGTCGTGAAATTCCCCCGTGTGGACTGGGCTCAAACGAGTTTGGATTGATTAAGTAGGCTTTGTTTTTTTCTTGTTTTTTTTTTTCTTGTTTTCGTTTTTGTCGTTGGACGCTTTTGTATAACACATCAGTCGCTTGTGTGCAGTTTCTTCTTTCATTACCTTATCATGATGGGGACAGTTGTGTTGGATGGTTTGGGTTCAGTTTACCAGAATTCGAACTTACTTCACTCGTTGATTAGCATGTGCGTTTTTCGGTAGCCAACACGATGCTTGTAGGGTCGTTGAAAAGCTAAACTGTTTTCGCTCATGTATAAGTCACATGTGACCGAAATTGGTTGGGTCACCTAGAAACACTAACGCGTTTTGAAAGAAAGTACGTATTCTTTTGTGGTAGATGAGATGTCTTTGGTTACCTCTGTAAATCTTAGTTGTAATATTCTTTGCGATTCTCTTTCCAGAATTCCTATAAAGTCCATGATGTCTTCCATAAGAGCTTTTTGATTCATTATTTTTTTGACAGTTCTGTCATCTGAAAGACTACGGTTGAAGGTTCGAGAAACACGCAGACGTTCTCCCTGCTGTGACCACCGCAACACATTCAATCACTGTGACAAACGAGCAAGATCCTGCCGCGAACCAGCGACTGTAAGTCTGTCGTTACTATTAAGTATCATTCTAATTGTTTAGTTTAACAGCAGTGCGCGTTAATATTAGTGCTTCAATTAGATTTGCACTATACCAGTTCATTCTTTAACGCCTTGCTGCTTCTGTGGTCGCTTCTTTACTTCGTCTTTAATGGATATTTATGTTAGTAAATAACCTCCGCTTCTTCCTTCTGCTGCCAGGCTTATGAAAATTTTTGGGAATTGAACAGCTCTTAACATTCTAACCATACCTTTGTTGTGAAAATGCATGACATACCACATATTGTTGTTGTTTAGTTACTTTTTTGTTTTTAATGCACAAATAACAGAAAAAATCGAAGTATTTTATTAATTAGCGAAACGTAACCATCACTCCATGGGAAACATATGTGGGATGCAGTTAACCTTTTAAGATGTCAAGTTGTTGTTGTTTACTATGTTGAAATTTTGGAATGAGGTCATCACTCATCTTTCTTAGTGATTTTCTTTACTTTCTATCTTTTTTTATTGCACTAAATCTCTTATAAATCGCCTTAACAATAGGATGTGGGAACCATAAAAAGCATTTGACATTATAGCTTAGCGATTAAGACGATCTTTTCATTAGTTAACAATATTCCTTCACAATGTTAATCTTTTATTTTCTGCCTACTGTAATTTTTTACAGCAAGGTATAATGTGAATTACAACCACAACGATGCTGAGATATTCGCAAAACTTGGACCTCGGGCTGATGGCAGCGTTAGGTGGGAAACTGACTGAGAGAAACGCAGTGCAAGAGCCGCCTCCGTGGTGCAGTGTGTAATGCGCGAGCACCCGGAAAGGGAAATCGTTGTTTGATTTGGTCCAGGGTCTAAGTTTTGCGATTATCTCAGCATCGTTATGGTTGTAATATTCCTTCATTTAACAGTTTCGTCAGCAGTAATAACGTTTACAACAGAGAACATCTGGATATCGCTGATGCGATTACTTAGGACTAATTAATCGATTTTTGAGAGCATATTTTAGTTCCGAGTGACAATTGGTGAGTTGTCGAAAGTGACGTTTTCACAAGGTAAATGCGCGGCTGCATATCCCCCATTTGTGAAATCTCAATTTAGTGAGTCTCAAGGCTACATCGAGATATTTTCGAAAGGTTGAATGTCATTGGGCATGAGTCAATACCTTTCAGCTGTACTGCACCTATTTTGACATACCACCAGTAAAATTTCGCAAAATGAATGTTTCGCGTCAAATTCGTTGTGCAATTATTTGGTTGAAATCATTGCAGATTTAGAAATAGAAATATTATGTTTATAATTCTCAATACCTTTGTGGTTGTGGAGCCAACACGAAGTGCTACTTTATTCTTCATTCCGGCGAAGCTGATGTTTCGGCAGTATCGCTTTTTTAGTGCCTGGAATAGTATATTGGTATGCCAAACGCTTCAATAAGACAAACAGAAAGATGGGAATCTAAATGGCAACCACACGATCAACATCTTGTCGAAAAACCCGTCGTTTTTTACGCGCCTTCCGCTGAGGAAGAACACCTGATTAGAGTTGCATAGGGTTCTTGAGTGCACCATCCCATATCAAAACTTCATCAGAAGATACGAGACAAGATGCAGTGTGATCTCTGGGCATTCTTCCCTGTTATTCACTGTAGGACTCTTAGCATTTATCCAAAAAACCTCAAGAAGTTTGCGTGCTAGTGGTTGGGTGTCCTGTGCGACGATAGTAACTTTATATCAAAATCGTTTCCGCTATTATTTTGTGTTCAACGTGTCCTTAGAGAAGGGTACGTTGTTTTATTTTTCGTCTACTATCTAGGTGTTCCTTTATACGGATAAATAATGGTCTCTTCTCTCACCAGTAAATTCGGCTCCGCAAGTATTACAAGAAATCAGGTATATCGTATCTGAACTCGTGCAGTCACCATCTCTGCTGTAATGGCAAATTACAAGAGTTCTCCGTTTCATAGAGGCGCCCATATTGGCAGCTACGAACTAATTGTCACGACGAAGCGTCACTTAGCTCATCGTTGATAAAGGACAACATATACGGGCTTTTCTTTTGGCCACGTCTTTCTATTTGGGGCGTCGCTGTCCTTCTAAACTTATCTCATGGGGTTATTATTTCGTAGCCATTGGAAATGCCTATTTACCGACCCAAAATGCGCGATTTCTCCTTTGGTTCCCTCTTTGTGCATATAGATGTGCGTTCGAAACATGTTTTCCACAAGCGCCCTCTTTGTGTGTGCGAAGGGTGGGAAGAGAGGAAATGAATAAGAATGTTTTTGTTATTTGGTTTTTGCTACCACTCTGTCATGTTACCGTTAGATGGTAAGTTAATTTGAACGTTAAAAATGAAAACAAATTTTGTTTCTGTCTGGTGAATTTAATGTACCCAGGCTGCTCATTCAACAATTTAAAGTATTTTTCGCTACTCTGCTGCAGATATGTAGATGATTGTTTTGTCATTTGCTGAACACAAGAGGAAATGCAGAAATGCTTTGAGTTATTCAACGAGCAGTCAGAGTACATAACACTCGAGAGAAATCGAAAGAAAACTGTTTTCCATCTCTTAACGTTTAAATTAACTTTTCATATAGCGGTTTCATGACAGAATCCTACCGGAAGCTAAATAACAAAAACATCCTTGTTCATTCTTTTTTTCCTACCCTTCACATGCAACGAGGGCGCTTGTGAGAAACATGTTTCTAACAGCAACCTCTATGTGCACAAATCCGGACCTGAAGGAGTAATCGTGCGATATGGCTCGGCAAATAGCCATCTTCAATGGCTACGAAATAGTAACCCCACGAGATAAGTGTGGAGGCAGAAGTACGCCCCAAAACGAAAGACATGACTAGAAGAAAATCCCATTTGCGTTACTCTTCATTAGTGATGAGTTAAGCGTAACTATAAAACGATTCATTAGAAGGGCAAGGCTAGAGGAATCGATAGCGATAGTTGAAATACCACCAGTTACTCTACGTCGTCCGTTAGTTCGTAACCACTTATATGACCGTCTCTCTGAAACAGAGAACTACGTAATTTGCTCTTATGGCAGAGATGGTGATCGCATGAGTTCAGGTACGGTATACCTGATCTCTTGTACTACTTCAGGAATCGAATATATCGGCAAAAAGGCCAGACTTTATTTATCCGTATTAAAGAACACTAGATGCAAACGGAAAATGGAACAAAGTACCCCATTAGGGACGCATAGGATACAAAGGATATCGGAAACGGTTTTGGTAATAAAAGCGGCTTTCACAGGATGCCGAAACACCCACGGACAAACTTCTTTATGCTGTTTGGATAAATGCCGAGAACCCCAGAATGAATAGCAGGGAGGAATTCCCAGAGATCACCCGTGATCTAGCTCGTATCTTCGCATCGAGTTTTTACGTGGAGTGGTGCAGTCATCAACCATATGCGACTGTAATCAGCTGTTCTTCAGTGGAAAGCGTGTAAAAAAATGGTGGGTTTTTCGATAAGCTGATGATCGTGTAGTTGCCATTTAGATTTTCATCTTTCGTTGGGTTATTGAAGGGTTTGACATAAGAAATTTGATCTCAGTATACTTCTCCAGGCTCTGAAGAAGGTACTGCCGAAAGTCAGCTTCACTAGAAAAAGAATGAGGTAACTCCTTGTGTTTGCTCAGCGGATATATCGAGAATTACTTGATCAATGCCGAGGTTATTAGAAAGTCAGTTACGTTAATTATATTTATAATAAACTATGAAAAAGATGAAGCTCTCGGTGTTGATAATCCCTGTAAGTTGCGCCGTGCATTCGACTTCATCAAGCATCGTTAAAGGTGATTGAATCCATAACTGGTCTATACAATGACTTGCGGCATATCGACTCAGTGCTGTTATCCTCCCAAACAAGTCTTGTACCAATTTGCTGACACCGGAGGAATGGAAGGCTTGGTGAGCCTGCGCTTCGGGATCGGACACATGTGCATTGCAGGGTGCCTTTGACCACTGTGCCACAAGCGCTCTTGTTTGTTTGTAGTATGACATGATATTAGGATTGCGTTATTATTCCAAGTTTTACTGGCTAAGATGTACTTTGCACTGATGTAAGACATGTTCCGTGTTTTTTGCTCTTTTTATGGAATGAGATGGTCGCATTTTGATGTTGAACTGAGATTGTCCGTAAATATTTTTGACTTCATGCGCCAACTTCTGTTATCCTTAGGTTTAATGTTTAACTATTTTTGTGCTGTATTGTGTCTGTTAACCATTTTCACTTCTGTTCAGTGGTATTTCTTCGTCGTACAGGACAAACGACTGACCATTGTTTGTATGCGTTCATTCGTCCACTAATGCCACCCACGTCGCTGCACAGGTTTCATACTCACCGCGTTCACTTTTACTGCGAGATTTCTTACTCATTTCTAGTTTGCTATTCTTTCTAATAACTTTGTTTTGTTCTATACTTAATGTTTACTTCACATCCACATTTCAAGCATGAAATGTGGGACGAAAGTTCTTGAAGAAGACAAGTTGTAGAGAGGAAATTTCTTCTTGAAAGGTTTTCTGGTTACTTTTGGCCATCTACTGTTGTTATATACATTTTCTTTTTCAATATTATATTGAGATGTTCATCCAGACGGGCTTTGCAAACTTATTCTGGATTTCCCGCTTTCGTTAACTACTCACTTCCGTTCTCTTTGAAATAATCTAGACTCGTAGCAATGTGTTTTTTCTAACAAATTATTAGTGTTAGATACATGGGGACAAAGAAGGGTCTCTAGCTAATCAACGCTTTCATGTCGAGCTATTCGGAGGGATGTACTGCTTCTGCATTGTGTTTTCACTTGATTTGCTCTCTACTGTCGCTATTTCTATTGTTTGTGAGACAATTTCAGTTTGGCATATTGCAATTCTAGCGATCAAAATTGCCTGAACGGCGAATATGTAACGGAAATTCACCTGGATCCAATGTTTGTAGTGAAAATGTGACTTGCATAATTTTCTTCACTTTTTTTTGCTGGTGCCATTCGACCCT